CCCTTCCCTTCCCTTCCCTTCCCTTCCCTTCCCTTCCCTTCCCTTCCCTTCCCTTCCCTTCCCTTCCCTTCCAAACTTCTCTTATATTCCAACATTGCAAGTCATTTTTGGGACTGTCAGTGCCATACAATTTGGCTACTTATTTTGACTGCAGTTAAAGCAAAGGATGACAGCCTAAAAGATTATTTTGATTAGTGTCTGAATCAAGTTAACTCCCATCTAATTGAAATATTTCATCAGGAAGTGTGTTATGAAAACCTTGGCTTCCTAAATGGTAGAATAGTGGAAATAGTTTCAGTTCACATCATTACACACACACATGCACACATGCGTGCGCGCGCACACATACACGCCTTCCCTACCCACAATGAATTTATTTCTGTAAGTGGAACTTTCCTGTCAATTATCTGATTGTTATCTAGGCTGATCCCAAGCACAGCACCTGGAGCTAGTAAATAAGAAAACTGTTTTCTTTAATAAATACTGAAATTCAGAGTATGAAGTTAATTCATGCCTTAAAAATTACAAGGTTCAGAACAATTTGTATCTCTGCCCAATTAGGGTGTATCCCCCCCCAGTTGTGGAGAGGCCATAGTTAAGTGCTGGAGCACGTGCTTTGCATGGAGAAGTGCTCTGATTCCACCCCAGCAATGCTTGGTGGGGCCTGGAGAGCCGCCAGCAGCCAGTGCAGACAAGGGTGAATCTAGATGGACCAGCGATCTGTCTCAGTAGAGAGCAGCTTTGTATGTTCTTGTTTAGATTAGTATTCTCTAGTTACTTTTCATTTTATTCCAATCCCTTTCTATCCCTGGATGGATTGAGTTCCTTTGTATTTATGTTTCCTGCATTTGGAACTTACAGCTTTTAATCTCCCCCTCATCAAATTCTCCTGTGCAATTGCCCCTCAATGCTGTAGTTACACTGTGCCCCCTAAAAGCCAGGTAAGGATGGGGGGAACACCTTTAAATGGGTTTTGAGGACCTAGGGGACACTGTAGATAACATGTTTTAATGTACAACCACTCCTGTTTCTTAGCTATCATTAAGAATTCTGGAGCAGACTCTGCCCTAATTCCTTCCTTGTTTAGGGTGGATTCTTCCACTCTCTCTTCATTCTTAACCATTACCAAGCTCTGCAGTTCGTTAGCAAACCCTGGTTAGCCCACACCATGGTTAAGGCTAGTTGGGCAAAGTGGAGTTTTGTAATTGACAGGGGGTTGCATAGTGGTTAGGAGACGATAGGCCAGTTCATAGGTCATGTTAAGCTACCCTGAGAATAAACCACCATGGATTGATTGTTGACAACCTGATAGATGATTAGGTTTTCTGAGGCTTGCATTGGCTTCTTTCCTTCCTCAGTCTGCCTGCTGGCTCCCCAGCATGAATCTCATGCACCTTTCTTTGGCCCATGCATCAGCACCCTTTCTGCAAATGTTCTTCCGGGGTTACTGCTTCTCAAGGGAAACTCCTCCACCATACCTCAGATCACCAAATGGAAATAATATTTCGAACCTTTATGAATATGGTAATACATGTGTGGAAAGGCTGAGGTGGTTGTGATGCTCTAGGACCTGTCTGTTTGCAGTTTATCCAAGCCTACCAATTCCCCCATTTATTAATGTTGTTGTCAATTTCATTCTCCTCTTGGTGCTTCACTTGCAATCACAGTTTTTTTTTTCTTTAAAGACTGCTTCACTTATTCCCAAAGTAACCATACCTGTCCCAAAAGATATTTCTCTTGCAGTTGCATTCTTCTGTTGGTTCCCTTACTAACTGTCAGGTATATGTGTGGGTTACAGAGCAGTGAGGTGGATCAGTAAGCATATGCACAAGGTGAGACAGTGAAGGTGATTGATAATACATTTAAATCCAAATTTATGGCAGAGCAGTAAAGCTGAAGGGGAAATTACATAAATTCCATAGCAGCAGATTTTCATGTCTGTGCACTTGTACGAGGCTGATTAAAAAAAAAAAAAAAAAGCTTGCAAATCCATTGATGACACACTTTGGCGTCCTTTCTTTTTGAATTTTGGGAGCACGAGGCAGAAGGCACTGACAAAGGATGAGGATCAATGACAGTCATAAGATTGTGAGGAGCAGCAGAGGTTTTTGGCACTTTTGCTGGTCAGTGTTCCAACTCTTTCTGAGAACACTCAATGAAGTTGTCCGACTGGGTTCAGACATTCTTCTAGGCAACTCTGACATGATGGCACCCCAAAACCCCGCCAACAAGCCATGGGTTCTTGGAATGACTCGTGTATGAGAAACAAGCCACCGTGTTGAAACTGCACTAGGGTTGAATGTCACAACAGCGCACCACGTGTGGTTGTTGTGCCTCATGAGCCAGGTCAAGTATTGGCAGTGAAGAACTGTTGAAAATTTCATCTGTGCCATAAACTTATAAGGAAGCTTTGGGAAATTCATGATCTTTCAGTGAGAGTCCTTTTTTTGTGCTGTAATAGTGCATTTCTGCGTTAGCTGCCATAGGCACTTGTGTAGAAAACTTTGGTGCAGACTTTGTAAGCACATAACGAATTGCACAAGTCAGAGACTTGGTGCATGTAAAGGAAAAAGACAGCTATAAACTACTGTGGATTTTGAAAGATATAGAGAAGCAGTTGACTTAAGTAAATAAGATAAGAGCGGTGCTGGATGAGACTTGAAGCCTATGCAGGCCAGCCTTCTGTTTGCACAGTAGCTGGGCTGATGCAGGTGGGAAGCTCACAGGCGGGGCATGAATGCAACACAGCAGTGGTCCTCAGCAACTGGTAATTTGCCTATTTTTATGATTCAGATATTTTAAAAACTCTAACCAGCACCCATTGGTATAGCAGATTGATTCAACTAATAACTATAATAAACATTTGGCATACTGTCAGCATCCCTATGGAAGACAGTGGCAATTTATTTTAATATCATGTAATTTTATGAACGATAACAATGCGATGTAAGAAATTTTATAGCAATGTAAGAAATGTTAGCTCCACTGTTATATCTTTTTCAACACTCTGATGTTTGTGACTCTTGAGGGGAGAGTGTACTTAGATTTTCATTCTTTAGCCACCCAGGGATTGTTGAACAAGATTTGATAAAGAGCTCTATTGTTTCTGTATCACATATGTTACCAAAACAGCCTGCTAATGTGACTACAAAGTCTTTACAGCAGTGTAACCTTCATGTTTCTCACATAAAATAGAAACTTTAAAAAACTCTGTCAAATTATTTACAGTGCCATACTATAAATATCTACTTAGACGTAAGCCCTGCTGAGTTAAATGGCACTTTCTCCTAATAAAGTGTGTTTAGGATTCATCCTTAAGCTGCAATCCTATGCATGCTGGGACAGGAAAAAATCTTACATGCCCGGGAATGGCAGACTTCTGATCTAACTATGTATTTATCATGTACAATATAAATATGCAAAGGATTGTATTTTAAATATGATGTACAAAGTGTGAGAGGCAGCTAGTCAAAGCTACTGTACTGAATTGATGAAATAATTTGGATGGGTTTCCCTGCACAATTAATGTTCTCTGAATTCTTCAGGTTTTAATCACCATCTATTGGCTGGGGAAAACTGCCAACAGCAGTACTTGCTATAGCGGAGCAACACTGAACCTGAAGGAGTTTGAAGGATTGCTGACCCAGATGAGAAAGGTATTTTTGTCACTTTGGGGATAAAATAGAATTTTAATAGACTATTAATGGTTTGAATTTCTCCCAAATACTGTGGCTTACATCCAGTAGATGTTGTTATTAGAGAGGCACTGAATGATGGACAGTGGAATGAAACATGCTTATTTGCTAATGGCTCGTACAGATTCTGAATGGATGCAGTGCAGCCTTTCTTTCTTTAAATATTGTTAACAATGACTATTGTTCAAGTATATCCACCGTTGTTTCTGCATGTATCAATTCTGCCAGTTTTAATGATCATGTAATTGTTTTCACTCTTGGCTTTAGAGTAAAATTTTTCATCAGCGAAGAGATTCTGTGAGAGCCATTAGAAAAGAGTATCTCAGGCCCCACTTCTGCCTCAAACTTAGGTTGGAGGACAAATTTGGCTCCTACGTTAAAAAGGAATGCATTGTACTGGTGTGGTGGGACACTGTTGCCTTGCCCATTGGCTTTTTCTTTTGATCAAGGCTTTGCAGAAATGCATGCTCCCAGGAATGGAGGCAAGTGAATGTTGTGTGTTAAAAGGGAAGAATACTTACGTAGCTCCTATTTATTTCAGTAAAGCATGTGTAGGGGACCTTGTTAATTAGGAAAAGCAGATGTTCAGCTTCAGGCACTATCATACCCTGGGCAGGATCTATGGGTCAGAGATAGATCATCTGGCTCATAATCAGTTGCTTATATATCTAAACTTCCAACAGGAATAATCAGATCAACTTGATAATAAACAAAAAGTTTGTAATGTAATCTTTTTTTCTCAGTATGCTTGTAATATGTGAAATTGTTGGGGATAGAGATCTTCAATGTGGCTGTTATGTCTACTTTATTGTGTGTCTGTGGACTTGATTTTATCCAGATGGCTGTGATAACTGTTGCATTATGGAATGCCATGCTATAGATCTTCGGTTCAACAAGTATGTAATAGTACAGATGCAAGCAAAGGAATTGAACCACATGTTTGAAGTGAGGCTGTAACAGTAGATTGCAAACACAGAGGCTGCGTACATATTAACATGTGAATTGCCATAATAAGCAGCGATGTCTTGCACTTAAATAGTACCTCTTTAATGTTCAAAGCAGTCCACTTCTATTACCTTGGTAATCCTTCTACAGCCTTGCATGGTCGGCCAGTATTACTATGTCAAAAGCCAGCTAGTAAACCTATGACTGTGGTTTACTTTCTGCCTCACAGTTCAGGATGTTAAGCCATGGCTCTCATCCAATTATACAGAAAGAAGAGATGAACATCCTCATAGCTGGTTCATTCATGCACACCCTCGTGCCCTATTAAATTCTTGGCATGTCAGATAACACCGAACTGAACTAAACTTCTATTCAAATGACAGTCTAAGAAAACTTACAATTTCAGAACCAAGGCTTTATTCTACAAGTCTGTTCATTCATTTCTTAATTCATTCAAATGCTCACTTAAAAGGGTTTTTTAAATGTTTGAGAAGTTTTATGAATGAAAAGTGGTCTGTGTTACTGGATCGTTCATCTGATGTTCATTCCTCATGCTGCTGAATGTTTCCACAATAGTCAAACATTCTCTCGCTTTTCCAAAAATTGGCAGCTTGCCAAAGGATTAGATATATTCTATTGGTATGCAAGATGTGGAACTTCAGAGAATTTGGGAAAGATGTCAGATTGGTTGGGACTGTGTAGGAGGAGGCAAGGAGTTTGAATAGGGATTGGCTTTGTGGTCTGTTCTAGCAGTTTATAGTATGAATTTTTAATATTATACAGTACTTGGCCATCTTGAATGAATGCAAAATAAGCTTACTGTGTTTTGCATCCTGTGTTATTTATTTTGAACCCAAGGTGGCTGTTGTCAGTGGATGCCTACTGGTGTATGGGCCCTTCCCAAGTGTCCAGGTGGACTTACCCTTGGTGTGGTCCTGCTTGGAGAAAATCTTTACATATTGGCCTGAGCTCTTAATGGCTAAGCAGAATGAGTTGTGGGATGGAGACGTTTCCATACCGTACCTTGTAAGACCTGCACTGAGCGTTTGCTGGAGCACAAGCATGTATGTATGCATAACCATATGCAACTTACATGCCCTGTTTTCTCTCACACACACATTGACTCGTCTCACACTCAACCCAGGAGAAACAGATCTTGCAGCAAAAGGATTAAGGTATTGCAGCCACCAAACACACTAAAACAACAACAACCAAGGAAAAATGCTCTAGGAACATGCTGAGTAGTAGCTGCCATAAAGCCAGAACTCATTCTTAAAAGTATCCCCTAAAGTGGGCAGGAACCGTCAACCTCTGCTTTGGGGGCACTCTGGGAATGGCATTCCATCTGGAACTGCTGTGGGTCTGGGAGCTGTTAGACAGAGCTTGTGGGGAGGTACATGCACACTTTTTGCACCCCTGAAATTAAGGGAAAAACAACCTGCCAACTTTTGTTTAATTTCACTGCCCAGTTAGAGACAATACGAGAAGTGGCAATTTAGGAGTATGGAATACAAGATTTGAATTTAGTTCACATATGTCTGTCATAGAAGAACGACACACTTCTTAGTCCTTAATAGTCACTTCTACAGTAATGAGTGCTACAGAAACTAAACCAGACTTCAGAAACAAAACCATGAAAGAGTGCATTTCTCTTCATATTATTTTACATCTCTGAGCTTGGTCTCAGGGAACCTTGGCTTTAAGCATGCCATGCGTGGTACTTTTGACAACCAGCTCTTCAGTGACCCTAATTAAGTTTTCTCCCTGGGAAGTGTGTAGGGCATTTGAGAGGTGACTAGTCCTGCTTCCTACATAAAGCTCATGGCAGTTCCTGTGCTCCTTTCTCTCAGCTGCTTCTTCCAGTGACACTTGTGTTGTTCCCAAAGAATCATCTGCTGGGGTGGAGCAGCTGAGAGACTCAGTAATCAAGTTTAAAGTTCCTAGTTTAGGTTTGCCATTCACTAGGCAGTGGAGACAACCTGAGAGGCACACAGCCCAGGCTTTCACAAGCAATATGGATATAATAATCCTGACCTATCTTGTAAGAAATAGAATTTTCATGACCAACACAAAGCTCTCTTTGGGTACCTCTTTTCCTTTCTTGTATGTAAGAATATGCTTCCTATTTACTTCTTAAGAGTGCAATCCAGTGCATGTCTACTCAGAAGAAAGTCTCATTCTTTTCAGTGGAGCATATTCCCAGGTACTGTGCATAGGATAGGAACTTGAAATGCTGTAATTGGAGACCTAGCCCTCCACTCTTGACTCCTAGTGACAGAGACCTTCTAAAATGGGTGCAGCATATCTGCAATATTCCTCAAAGAATCCCTGCAATATACCAGTACACCTTTCACATGCATCTCACCAGTAAATAATGGTAATGGTAATTACCACTTCAGTTTAACAGGAGCACTGAAAAAGATGTATGAAATGCACGACACCTCTGGTTTGATTTGTGGATGGTGCAGAGCTAACTGGCATTAATACGTAATAGCATTACAATCCAGTGCACTCCAGAAGGTATCCTATTTAACTTGCCATCTGAGCTTTTCAGATGGCTCCACATGAGTGATAATAGTGTCCTCACTTTTTTCATTCAGAGGGAGGAGGGCTGAAGAAAAAACTTCAGAAAGTTTGCCTTTCAGTAGAGGCTCTTATTTTTGTTTGTCTTGGCCCCATGCTGTTGTAACTGATGGTAAGATACAGGTCGAAACAAGGGGGAATGTCCTAATAATGCAAGGCTGAGGATGGCTTCCACTGACCTTTTCCCTCTCTGGGAGCTTTCAGTGTTTTAGTATGTGCAGCTTGCACTGGAAAGAATTTATAATCGCGAGGCTGTCAAAGACAGCCATTGTTCTCACTGCTCTGAACATGTGGGTCAGCTACAAGTGCTTTCATATCCCCCAGAGCCAGGAGCTGGCAACAAGCAAAGAGCAAGACTGAATTCTTCAGAGGCATCAGGAAAAGCGTTTTGCATATTTTTCTTCTTCTTCCCCCACTGCCGATTGTTTCGGGGAAAAAACTGGGATTTCTCTTCAAGGTAGAAAGAAGCTGCGGATGCTTCCAGCTTTGTTATTTTGGCGGAGCCAAAAGCAGCAAGAGCAAATGCTGACTGCCAGAGCTCCAGACTAATAGAAGTGATCTGTTTGGTGAGGTTAGAAATGTCTTGCATATAACGTAAAGCCAAGATACCTTTGCCCATATGCTATGGACAGTGGCTTATACGAGGAGGATATGGATGAAGGATGCTGCAGTCCCATTCCCTGAGCCCCCACTACGTGGCATATACGTAAGCCTGTACCTGCCTGAAGTGGTCTCCAACCTGCAGAGACGCATGCCATAGTAAATGTGTTAGCTTATTACAGTGCCACAGGAATCCTGGTTGTGACAGATTAACATTGGCTTCTCTTCTGTAGAATGCGTAACACTGTTTTTCAAAGTTTCTTCCAACTATTTGTGTTCACTGGTGTGGATCTTATCTTCCATTTCACAGCCACCTCTTACTAGTTATTTGAAAGTCTGGGGGAAAGAGAGCGAAGGAGAGAAAATGGTAAACAGGGCTAGAAACAGACAGTGAGATTTTTTTAAAGAGAATTGGAAGTTGTTTGCGAGATATGTTGCTTCCCATGGTACCTGCACATATTTCTTTAGTCCTGTGGCTGCTTCTGGTTTAACAGGCTTTTATAGTCTTCCAAAAACATGCAAAACTTACTGATCAGGGACAGCTTTGGTACAAGAAAACTGTGTAAACATTGAAGGAACAATGATTCCATGATACCATTCTTAATTCACTTCAAAGAGTGTTTGTCTTCATCCATAGCTGCATGCATTCAAGTTGCACAGAGAAATCGTACTTTTTGTGTAAGTAGATTTCTTTAAGGACTTCTCCCTTTCATCTTTTATGTTAGGACCCTGAGGATGTTGAGAGCCCCAGGCGCAGCATCCGCGACAGTGGCTATGTAGACTGTTGGGACTCTGAACGCAGTGACTCGCTTTCTCCCCCTCGCCATGGTAGAGATGATTCCTTTGATAGTCTTGATTCCTTTGGTTCCCGCTCTCAGCAGACGCCATCTCCAGATGTGGTGCTAAGAGGAAGCAGTGATGGTAAGCTGTGTTCCCCAGGGATCCAGTTGAAAGGGATCCATGACTCTTTGGGTACAAAGTGGTTGATGGGCTGGTGTCAACTATGGAATTGTGATGGGCCTTGCTAATCCCATGTTGCTTTGATTTATGGCTTGAAAGCTTTTGGAGAGTTTTGCTCACATTTCAGTTAAAGTCCTTTCTCACTTGCAGTTATGGGTTTGTGGGGTGGGTAGGAAGTTGCACTATAGCAGTCTTAATTTATGAGTTGCTGCTTCTTGGGTCTGAAGTAGAAGAAGATGTTAGGCAGACATTGGTTGGACTAATAAAATGGGACGGAGAGACAGTGAGACTACCAGGATGGGGAAACACTGCTTGGAATGAGTAGGATGACTGCAAAGGAAGAGGAACCACTTCTTATGTGAGTTATCCTGAAAGAAAAGTAAATAAAAATTGTTCTTTATTTAGCATTTTAAAATTAGTTGGCAGAGAATAAAGAAAGTTAAGCATTCTGACACTTGTGTAATGGTAATATTGTGCATCTCTCTCCGGTTCTGTAACCTAAATCAGATTATAACAGAAAGATTTTGAAGGAGAAAAATATATTTCTTTGTGTGTGTCCAAAGTGCTACTTGAGCTCAGAGTTTAAATCCATAATAAATCACAGGTTTAATCATGCTTAAGGTCACTGGCTTTAATGGGTTTATGATGATGCTGAATTGTGGTTTATTTTATTTAGCAGTTCATTTGTATCTGCTTTCTTTAAAGAGCTAAAGTTTTCATATATAGAGCTACCTGCCTTTTATCATCAAAAGTGTCCCATGGGTAGGTTAGGCAAAGAGACAGTGCCTGACCAAGGATCACCCAGCAAGTTTCAAAACTGAGTGAACATTTGAATTTTCACAGTTCACCTGCATTGTATTACTATTGAAATAGAACATTAGTTTCTTGCATTTCAATGGAAGTAATAAGACATATGTTAAGAAGCACATTCTTGTTTTTAAAACCAAACAATGTCAGTTTTGAAGTTATGGTCACGTCCTTCTCCTATTTCTTAGACTGTCTGACTTTCATAAACAGAAGCATTAAATAACAAAGAAGTAAATACACAATAAGATGATCAGAACTATTGCTACAATTACTTGGTTTATCCCCAAAACAGCTCCTGCTTTTGTCCATTGTGGATCTATGGATAATTGCCTCTCCTTATTGTATTAGTACTAGGGACAAAATGCATGTATTTGCATAGTCTCTATTTTGTTATGATATGGTTAAAGCTAGGGATGTGGGAAAAATTAATTTGGTTCTCATTTTAATGTAGGCTTACTTATTTGCACATTTTTGACCCTGTTCTTCAAAATGTGCACGTCTCCAAACTCCTCCAAATAAAAGGAGTTTTCCATTTAAAAATACATGTAAAACTGTGTATATTATAGAAGGGTGTGGTCAGGAATGAATATATTCATGAAAATAATAATTTAAATCCATTGTATTGTATTATGGAAAACTGTTTGCACAAAAGGTGCATAATATGCAAAGTTGTATTCAAAAGTTGCTTATATTAGGAAAAATTCAAACAAAAGCACACATGAATGTTCATGCAAACTTTTAAAAACCTGTCAAAGTTGTGACAGATTTAACTTTAAATCTTTAAAGATAAGAAACTCAGACAAAAACTGAAAGTTTTATCTATGCACTTTTATAACATTTCCTTTACAAAAAGGGAATTTAGAATGCTCCTGTGCTAAATCTTTTGTCCAGTAAGCTATTTCACTGCTCCAAAGACCTCCTAGGAATGCTGTTCTTCCATTCCACTTTTTTTTTCCAATGCTTTTTCAAGCACATTTCAAACCTGATTAGTTGAAGCAAAAAATATCTGGGCTGTTCTGTTCATGTTTTTTAGTACTCCCTTCCTGGAAAAAAGGGAATGTTGACTGTTGTTCTGAGTTCATTTTGTAGTCTACAGTGGTACAGATTCTCCTTGTAATGCCTAAATTCTGAATCATCCAGTTGATTGGCCATAGGTTCATTGCTAAATATCCCTTTCAGATATGCTAGTCCATGCAAGAAAGATGTTTCTGTGTCTGCTGGCCAGGAAATCTCCATCTTTGGGATGGTGTTCTTTTGAATATCAAACAATGATGGATGACTTTCACATGACCTGTGTGTGAGCTTTCAATGGCATCTGGTTTGCTGTTACTTGAAATACCAGATGAGATGGGCTGTGACGATCTAATGCACCAAGGAGGCCTCTATGATTGCATATACCTCTATCCATAGTGTAGCTGTTCATTGAAGATTCCTTTACCAATTGTATGTTCACATTGATCAGTCCCAGTTAGCAATTTAGTTGCTGTATTTTGGAATGAATGAAGTTTCTAGGTCATTTTCAAAGGTAACTCTATTGTATTTTATTTATTTAAACCATTTTTATGCTGCCCCATTTGCAAAAAGCCTCAGGGCGGCTTACAACATTAATAAATAAACATAAATAAATAGTTATATAATTAGAGTTAAAAAACTGGAAACATCTTGGCATGTACATAAAAACCCAATAAATACAATTCATAAATTAACAATTAAAATAACTTTTAAATAAAAAGATCTTGGCCTGGCGCATTGGTGTATTGCATTGTAGTAATCCAAACAGAAGGTTACTGGAATAGAAATAGTCACGTGGCTCTCTCTGTCCAGGTGCAGCAGGGAGGGACAACTTTAGGCTGTCCAAAGACCAGTATTTCCCCCAGGCCCACCCTGCCTCTGAAAATGGTCTTGGCATGCCACTATGGAAACTTAAAAAGGAGAATTTATGCTTGCCATCAAATGTTGGTGGGAAATTATCAGCTACACTAGGGGCTGCATGCAGCCAAATTTTGTGTTGCTCATCCCTGTAGCACAGGAACAGTGATGGGTTTAAGCACATATTCCAAACTGTGAATCTGCTCCTTTAGGGATTGGTTGTGCATTTTTTTTCAAACCAGGCTAAACACCACCTAACTAGACAGGCAAAGCACCACCACAAGCATCACTGTTTTGTCTGGGACTGTTTGTTGGCCCTCATCTAGTTCATAACCACACTAAGGAACTGCTTCAAAACTGTGTGATTTGAAAAGGAGAAACCAGAGTTGGGAGTCATCAGCATATTGGTAACATCCCAGTTCACATTGCTAGGTAAATTCCCCCATGGTTACTTGTTAACGTTAAGCAGAATGGGGGGAAATAGACCTTTGAGGGACTGCATGGTACAATTCCCAAAGGGCGCAACAAGAATTCCCCAGCACCCCTTTTTGGAAATCGTAATCCAAATAGGAGCAGAACCGCTGCCGCATTGTGTCCTCATATCCCAATTCATACAGTCTATCCAGAAGGACACTGTGGCTGATGCTATCAAAATCCATCTGAGAGAATAAAAGAGTTGTACTCCTTCGCTCTCACAGCACAGGGCAGCCATGGCAGGTTCTGATCCAAATCCAGACCTGAGCATGGTTTGAAATAAATTTTCAACATGTGGCCTTGTGAATGTTGTATTGTGACATTGCAAAGCTTCGAGATGGAGTGAACACAGTATGTTTTATACACAATCTTATCTTTTTTCCCAGTTGAGACTGGAACGTACATGCTTCTTTAGGGATTTGAAGAGCCTTCCTAGATGGTGGTATCAGTGGACAATTGGTACTTTTACCTTGGAAATGAGGTGTTAGAGGGGGAAAGGGGATGAATCTTCTGCACTAAGTATAATGCTTCTGAACTTAGTGCATTTTGATTAAGTACTTAATTTTGCCTCTTTCTTTTAAACAGGGAGAGGCAGTGATTCTGAATCTGACTTACCGCATCGAAAATTGCCTGATGTGAAAAAAGACGATATGTCTGCCAGACGGATATCCTACGGTGAACCCAAATCAATTGTGCCTTTTAACCAATACCTCCCCAATAAGAGTAACCAGACTGCCTATATTCCAGCTCCTCTCAGGAAGAAGAAAGCTGAACGGGAAGAGTACAGGAAGAGCTGGAGTACGGCTACCTCTCCACTCGGAGGAGAAAGACCCTTCAGGTAAGGCCTTGGCCCTGGCATCCAAATCATGTTTTGTCCTAAGAAGTACTTTGTTTTAAGTTCATACAATGTACATCTCTTAGAGGTTCTAAAGATTCCACACAGATTGTCCCTGTGGATGCTGCAGCCTCTTCAAATCTCTCACAAATCCACTTTTGCCATCCACCTTTGATGTAACCATCTCCAACAAATCCTTGGAATCACATTTGCTTGAATTCCATCCCTGTTGCCACTGTCTTTCCCCTTCTTTCTTTTCACCGCCATTGTCTCCCCCTTGTCCCAATCTAGATTGGTGCGTCCTTAGTTCAGACACCTTTTTTCATTTACTACTCTGTAAAATGGACATTGATGACGGTGTGTAAACAGGAGCAAGATGGATCTCAGGTGAAGAAGCATTTGATCTGGCTCATCCACACAGACAGGTGTCATCCACACTGACATGTACTTCCTGGCATTGATTCCCATGAGCCACAACAACTCACTTTCCCTGGGAAGCGGGGCTTGGTGGCATGGTCTTCCCAGGTCAGAATTTATTTCCTCCATTGACCTATTCGCTTATCCTTATGCAATTCAAATTGCTTTGTGGATGGAGAACGCATTTATAGGCCTGCCTTCTCTGTCACACACCTGCCCCTTTATCTCTCCAGTCACTGGGGCTGAATTATTACAGTGGGGGATCCCACTGCATCAGGTGTGGGTTAAAATGCTCTAAATCACTTGGAGTGTCTACACAAGTACAGCAGGTTCCTTGTAAGAGACGTTCAGCTCCAGCCATTTAAGGGCTGTGGCAACATAACGGGGAGGCATAAGCATATCTCCCCAGCCTTCCTCATGGGACTGGAAATGCATGCAGGGCAATGAGGGAAGAGCATCTGTGTGTCCGCATCCACAGGAGCATACTGTGCTGAGACTTGCAGACTGTTTAAACCAGACTGGAGTCATGTATGGTCGTTAAAGTGGATTGTCCCTCCCACCTCTTTTTGTTTTTATTTTTTTTTAATAAACACCTTAATATTAAAAAGTTTTCCTTTTTCATTCTAAGAACTGGTTGGATCAAGACTGAATTAGTTGAGCTTAGTTCCAAGCAAAATCTTTGGTCTGAATGGGAATTCAGTTCAACTGTTTTAGTCTAGAACCTACCTCATATGTGTGCATGTTCATAAAATGTGAGTGCAATGTCTTGCAGTATGTCTGTGTAATGGAACATTTCTCTTTCTTGAATACTTACATTTAACAAGGATAATAATAAAAAAGTATCTCTTGATGTGGGACAGACTTATCTGGCCTGCATAATCCCAAATAGCAACAGCTAAGGAAACAGGAGCATACTGTGTAACCATCTGCCCTATATGACTTAATAGCCAAAGTCACCCTGAAACTATAGAAGAAGAACAAAACGAGTTACTGGTACAATCCGAAGAAGTGCTCTTGGGCTGCAGAGCTTCCCTTGCAGCCCCCTCTGTGAAACCTGTTCAGGCAGACACAAGCCAAAGAGACCCTTTCCATCAGTCTCCTGCACATGCTGCAAACAAAGCAGCAAGACTCAGGAATACTGAAAGAGACCCAGAGGAGCTCCGGAAGCTAAGAAGGCTTGAGCAGGCTGGTATTAAGATCATGCCGGCAGCACAACGCTATGGCAGCAGGTTAGCGTCATGCCGTGGGACTTTGCGTGCGCATGCGTCATGCTCCTTCGCTGTGCTTTGTGGTGTGCTTGTGGTGCGACTTCCTGTAACACACAAAAATTAGGCTAATAAATATCCACACCATTTGCTCCACATAGTGTTAAAAGCATTTGTTGCAAGTGGGGAATAAACAGCAGTATACTTGAGTGGAAAACAATTGTTCTAATTATTGTGATGATGTAACAGCTTCCAAATAATCAGTTTTTGTGGGAATGAGTGGTCAACATATGTGTATGCGTTAAATGGATGTAAGGTAAACAATTGCATAGAGGAAGTCTAATTAAAAGCAGGAATTGTAAAAGCATGCAGTTCATTACTTTTACCAGTCAGAGCATTGAGACCATGTTCAACAATTTACTATAAACAAGTACATGCTTGCCATGGAAAGATGGGGCATGTATATACCCGCAACTCAGTTGGGTATTTAGAATTAATACATGATCAACTGTGATACCAGTGGAGATAGGGTGGGATAAGGTGTGTGCTCCTCCCTTTGACTCTTTCTGAGGTGCTGCCCTTGGGTGGCATGCTCAAACTGGAACCTTCTCACTATCTTGAAGCTTTGTGCCTGGCCTGAATGGTCATTCTAAGAGCAGGTCCATTCTTCAGCAGCTGCTTGATATCTGATGGGGTACCTTGTTGTCAATCCTGACCAAAAGCCTGGGCAACATGGAGCAAGGCTTTATATCAGCCTTTCTGACTCTTGTCTGGCCCCAGGATCTTATGATGGTCAAAAGATTTCTTGATGGTTGAAAGATCTCATGATGAATGTCCTAGCCATTAGGAGATGTCTATTCCCTTGGTCTTATGAAGGCTAGGAATCCTGGTTATCACATATTTTCTGTTTTAGGTCTTATGAAATCCAGTATACCTGACTGCCCCTGAAAAGGTGGCAGGACAGTTCCACCTTCCACAGCCACTGCAGCTGTCCCCCTCTGCAGCAGGAATCAGCTCTGATGGTTGGGCAAGGGGCTTCTATTACTAGGCATTCTTCAATTGATTTGGTAGAAACTCTGTGGGGAAATGATATGGTCTAAGCTGTTAGAAGATGTGCACGGGCATGTACTTGCACACAGACATGTTGGTACATGGAAGATTTTGGCTTGGGGAGGGTTTGGATGAAATGGTATCCCTTTCTGCTTTCTGGTTTCTGGTGTTTATGTTGTACGTTAAAAAAAAAAAAAAAGCTGGGTTATTCTAAACTCCAGACTATTCCAAACTCTCTAATAGGTGTGGCCATATATGATCGTATGGTATACAGCAGTTCTTACAGAACCAGTGAAACCATTTATTTATTTATTTATTTATCAATTTATATCCTGCCTTTTTCCTACAAAGGGCTCAAGGCAGCTTACATCATTCTCCTCCTCCATCTTGTCCCCACAACAACAACCCTGTGAGGTAGGTTGGGCTGAGAGTCTGAGTCCCATGGCTGAGCAGGGACTAGAACCCAGGTCGTCTGAGTCCCAGTCCCAGCTCTTAACCACTACACCACACTGGCTTTATAAACAATTTAAATCTGGTTTGAAATGGGATGTCCATTAGAGACATTTTATTAGTGGTGTAGTTAAGTAGTGTAATCTTTGTGTGCAATCTGATGATACATTTTAAACTGGATACAAATGTAGCTGTACCAAAAAGAACATAAATGGAACCACATACATTGGATGGCTTACTTGTTAATAATGCATCTTTGGATTCACACATTTGCTTCCCCCATTTCACGCACACCAGGCACTAGACCTTAGCCTGAGGAAAGATGGTTCGCACCTCAGAGCTGGTTCCAGTGGTAGAATGCTGGCTGACTTGGACAAATCCTGGAAACTTGAGTGGATTGATTTCATGAGTACCATAACAGAGTTGCCGACTGACTTACACATTTTCTTTTGTGGAGGTGGAAACACGATATTTCTGAATTTATTTCTTTTCTCTGCAAGAACCATGTAAGTGTGACATGTTTTCATGAACCAGATTGTCTTTTGCTCAATAGGTGGCAGAACATCATTGGCACCTACTCTTGGATAGTTTTAGGCATTATAAAAAAATTGTGGTGTGGAAGGCATGAAACTGCCTTCTTGGAAACCATCAGGCAATGCTGGAGTAATAAGATTTTGCAAAATCTGACAGACAAGGGGTCAAATTCTACTTATGTTAAGTACGTGGGAATTTCTGTTGTGTGTGGAATTTTCGAAGTAGACAAGTCTCCATATGCAAGTCCCTATTTTGCTTGGAAAGTGCAAAAAGCAGTGGAGGTTCCCCTCAGTTTCTCAGGCACTGCTTGTTTGTCACGTATGAGACCAATGTGGCTAGTTTTTCTGAAGGCATTCCACTCTTAGCTTATATTACAGGCAATAGCGTACATTTCTCTATCTGGAAGACACATTAGAACTAATATATGCAATAACCAAGGCAACAAAGTATTTTAACAACAGAATCTGTGAGGCTTAAGTGTGAATCTTGGAACCAAACACTAATAAAAATAATGATGCAGTCTCTCCCTTCCTGCTTATTTTCAGATAACCTGTCATGTGGTGTAAAATTCAGAAGGATAAAATGAGTTCTCATTTGGATCAAAGTTCACTGTTCCTTGGCCAACAGAGTTACGTTGGGCATGATAGGTTTAGCACATGTGTTCAGAAGAGGTTAACAGCCTCTGGCCATTAGGCATAGCTCCAATCTTCCAGCTTCAGATCTCTCCTTCAAAGTTGGAGACACATGCGGGCATAGCTGTTGTTTAGCCAAGGGCAGCAGTGTAGGGCTGGTGTTGGTGAGGAAGGTTCTGACATCATTTTATATGCAAACCCCATCCCGTTCTCTCCCAAGGACCTCTTTTACTGCCTTAGGTACAGCAAGATGTTCAGTATTTGCAACAGTCATTATTTCATTCTTCACTGTCCTCTGGCTTTTTTTTCTGGGTGCCAGGTGCAGTTTTTCAAATAGTGGTAGGTGGTGGGGAAGACCTACTGAAGAGCAAACGCTGCAAGAGCCAGTTGTGCTGGTGTGATTGTATCTTAGCAACAGGCTTGTTTTAGAGCTTCGGGAAGGATCCAACAGTGTCTGTGTGCAAGGGTTCTTGACGTGCTTTCCCGGTGTCAAAAGCACTTGCTTCCAAGAGCCATTGATAATAGTGCATTGCTAGTACATGGATCACATTGGATCCTTTCATGTACTTGTTTTAATTTTGAAAGAATGAGATAGAGAATTCATTATTTTTTGCAGGAGAGAATAATTTAGAAATGGCAGCTGAGAGAGGGAAAGAGAGACTTTAAAAATCAAATTCATTGGTTTTCTGTTTTCTTTCCTGTTGTTGAAGTTTTCCATTTTGATCTTACATTGTGCTGTAATCAAAGCACACCGATTTTCCTTTTTATATAATTCCATTGAAATGTCGCAATCATGGCCAGTGGGAATGAAGGAAAAACCTTGCATACCTACAGAAGAAGTGCAAAGTACTCACATTTCCTCCCTGACTCCCATCTTCAGCCTGAACACTGTACCTTGCAAAGCCGGCCTGAGGAACTCCTTTAATTAATAATAAAGATCTTCACATTCTTCTATATAAACTTCTTAGGAGGACATGATATTAGTCTTCGAATATCTAAAGGGCTATGATGCAGTAGATGGAGCATTTTGTCCTCTGTTGCTCCTGAGGACAAGGCTAGAATTAATAGGTGGAAAATACAGAT